GGGGCCTTGTGTGCTCTGGCTACTCCTTCTCAAAGGAATTTGTATCCCTTCCTGGGCTGGCCAGTGCTTGGGCTGCAGAGCTGAGCTGGCTGTGAGTTGTGGTGCTGCTGGTGGCTGGCCTGTTTGTGTTCGCCTTGCAGTGAAACTGGAGATGAGATGGTCTGTCAGGGTTCGCTCTGGAGGAACGAGTTCCCAGAGATCAGCCCAGCCTGGGTACATGAGGCCATGTTTGCTCTCATGCCACTATTCAAAACATAACACTAAAGATGGTGCAGCACAGCGTGCAGTGCTGAATCGGCATCTGAATGTCTGCCGTCCAAGTCGGGTGGAGCGTGTTTGCTTTGAACAGCTTTGCTGATCCATGGTGCTTGCGTGCAATTGTGCTCTGTCTTCTTGGGCATGTTAAGTGAGATGTTTATAAAGTCTTGTTAGCCCTGTTTAGTCCCCCAAAGACGCTCACAAACCAGAGAAGGTAACATTACCAGACTTTGAGCAGGAAGGAGGGCAGGGAGGGAAGAAGCGTAGAGCACGAGACTGATGTCCCTGGGTGTCTTAGTGGACTGTGGGCGTCCATAAGACTGAAGAGGAGCAGCTGGGGTCACTTGGTTTGTTCAGCTTGGAGAAGGCTCAGGGAGGGCTTCATTGCAGTCTACAACTTCCTCAAGGGGGGCAACAGAGGGGGAGGTGCTGATCTCTTCTCTCTGGTGACCAGGGATAGGACACAAGGGAATGGAATGAATCATCAGTACACCAGTGTGAATCACTTTCATAAATGATGTTGAGATCTTTTGGTAAGGTGTGATTTTTTTTTTTTTTTTAATTTTCTTTTTGGTGGGATTTACAAAATGAGGAAGGCTGATGGAGCAGAGCATCCTCGTGTGCGGTGTGAGCGAGGTGGCCTGATGGGTCCTGGCTCATGAGGCAGAATGGAGTGCTCTCAGCCCTGGCCTTCTGGCTACTGCCCACTGCCCTCCTGAAGGTTATTTACTGGGGAGGAGTTAAATGTTGCTCTGGTTTGCAGCCAGCTGGGGAGATTTTGCCTCTGTGTGATTGTGTGCTCCAGCTGCGCTTGCAGGAATCGAGTGTTTTGCATGAGATACCAACTGCATATATCCAGGCAGCAGTGAGCCTGTGGCTTGTTCGGTGTGGGACCTCAGAGCGATGCTTGCAGGGTGCTTGTTGAGCACGATGTGTAGGGGCAGGAGGTGTGGGCAGTTACATGAAAGGGACTGCCAGCCAGTGACCGGCACAGGGAGTGGTGATAATACAGGGCACTGCTGCTGTGGGACGAGGTCCTGGGGCAGACAGGGTCACCGTAGGCCAGTTTGTAAAGGTCTTCATTTTTGAATTCAGTCTTTTTATGTGCTTTTCATGGCCAGGGATCAAAGAGGCAAGCTGTGGCCCTGCTAAGATACTGGAAACTGAACGCAGTCATGTTCCTGAACTGCCCCTGCCTCTTCTCCCAGGGACCCCAGGAGGGTTAGAAGCAGGAGAAGTGGCAGCTCAGCCCTGTGGAGGGAACAAAAAGCACTTAAAAAAAAACCTCCACTCCGCTCTCCACTCCACCAACTGCCAAAAAGTGAGCAAACAGGTGGCCAGGCGTTTCTGAGAGGGTGCGAGGGGCTTGGGACACGGAATTAGACAATTTGCATTGGGGTGGACGAGGAGGGAAGCTGTCAAAAAGCCCTGATTGTAAGTGAAGCTCTTTTGTTGTTTCTTGCCTGTGCACTGGGGCACGTTCCAGTGTCTGCTGGCTGCTCAGCTGGTGTTGAGCTGGGTGCCTGGCCTGGCAGACAACAATTTCCAAAAGGCAACAGTTGTTCCACAGAGCTGAAGGGAATTGGGAAGTGGAGTTGAGCCCTCTGTACCAAAAGCCACTTCCCCTTCCCAGCCCACAAGAGCTTTCTTCCCAAACCATGCATCTGAGATTTTTTTCCCCACGTGCTGTAAGAAACAGTTGTGTCATGGTTATGTCCACTGCAAGTGTTTTTCTTTCTTCCTTGGCCTGGTCACTGGACTTTGCTCACTTGACGTGTTGCGACGGCCTTAAATAGCATGGGAATGTGCAATCTGGAGGATGGTACCTTCTTCACTATGTCAAGTGAGCAGTATTGTCCAGGAAGCTGTCTGTCTGTCTCCTCTCTGCCACAGCAGCCAATAGCAGATGCAGGGGGACGAGTATAAAGAAGAGTGTGAACACAGAGTTTCTTTGGGTGCTCTTCCAGCTTTCTGTGATGTATGGCCAAGAAATATCCTGCTGTGTCTGTATTTGTCCCTTTGGTAACATGTGAGGCTTGGTTTGTGAAAGGATTCAGCATTATTATGGTACTTACATGTTTAAAAGTGGCCCTGGAGACAGCTGTGGGTGTTCAGCACTTCTCCAAACCTATCCTGGCCAAGTGAGACCCTGGGCAAAAAGAAAAGCACAAGGCTTATAACAGTGTGCTTTGTGGGACCTGCTGAGTGCACACAGGAAAGGGGGTAGCTGCTTCTGCAGGGTGGCACATTTGAGGACATCCTTTTGGTCTCTGTAATGCCTTGCTCTTCATCCGGTACCTGACAGGGCTGAATTGGCTGAGCCTCTGGTTCGGAGCGAGGTGGAGACGCCTGGTTGTATGCCAAGATGTGATCCAGTATGCGCTATGCATGGGGTAACACTAAAGGTAAGGGCTTTAATCCCACTGTTGTTCATTCAAATTCTGCCTGCCATAAATGAGGCAGATGCATTGCGCCTGAGCCTGCTCTGCCACCTCGGCTTGAGTTACCTGGAGCAAGTTCATCCACCTCATTGAACGAGGATGCCAGGTCCAGTGTCTGTAGCACCAAGGTTTCAGGTGATGCAAAGCTCCGTACCTCTGTAATGAATAGAATTTACGTGCGTGCAGCAGTCTCCATGTCCATTGTCTGGGTTTTTTGTCTTCTGGACACTCTTCAGCAGTCAGGGAGTTGTGGGTAGATTATCCCTGCCCATTGCCCGCTAGCCTGTGTATTACAGCATGTAAGTCTTAGTGTGTGCAGAAAATGTGGCGGGGTTTTTCTGTGTGAGAGGATTGCTGAAAGATAGCTATGAGGGGATATATTTGGCTAATAACAGTTACGAGGACTTTAATTTTGAAAATAAGTGAATCAGAAAAGTGCCTTGCTCATGAAAACTGGACATGAAAAAAAAAAAATTCTGTTTAGATATCAAAACTCCCCTTTCAAAGTAAACTTTCAAATTCCTGGTACAGGAATGTTCCCTTTTGTTTATGCTCAAGGGCTTTATCTGATTTGAGATAATGGAAGCAGCTGGGCTTCCACCACTTCCTTTAGGAAAATTTCCACTTTCAAAAAGATTTCCACCACAGGAAATGCTTAGATTTTCAGGTTGGTTCCCTCAGTTTGGTTTTGTCCCTGTACCCCCAGTGCCACCAGGCTGTTCTCACCCAACTCTTAGGGCTTAGACTTCCCAGCTGGAGACTCCAGCAGCTCCTCTTGCAGTGTAAAAATTTGGTTCTTCCTGTCCTGTCTTCCTTGTAAAGCCTTTTTGGCCAACTTTCATTCTCATTGGAAACTGCATCTTTGGGTTTAGAGCTTAAGTCTTTTTCATACTTTGAAGTAAAATGGGAAGCAGTGCAGATGTGCAGCAAACGTGGGAGTGATTTCTCCAGCTGATTTGCACTTGGCTGCTTGACAGCGGTTTGGGTCAGTGCCTGAATGTGTCTTAGAAAAGAAGAAAGTTGGGTTTGGGATTACTGTTATGCTGTTTCTGAGATAGAGACAAATGCAACAATTTCTGGTTATTTGGTCCCATGTTTGGCTGAGGGTGTCTGACAGGATGGCTATGTAAGAAGATTACAGCAGCAATAAACATGTTCTTTGACATGGTTTCTGAAGACCACTACGGCTTGGAGAGGAGAAAAATTGTTTTCCAAGAGTGGAAGGCTCTGTTGAAGCTCAGCTACAAAATTCCCTCCTGATCCAGTCTAGATTT